GAGGGCCATGAATGTACAAATGCGCTTTACACAATTGATGTGTGTATGGATTGTGATAAAAGTTGTATGAGCCCCTAATAAAATGATTTTTTAAAAAGCAGTCAATGAAAAATCTATGTATAACAACAGAATGTTGCCTGATAAAGCGCTGGAGGATGGGTCCCCCAAGATAGAAGGCACGACGCAGTAGAGCAATGATGGGCTCAAACATCCCAGTGATCATGAAGACGGCACAGGTCTGGGCAACGCTGTGCTTGCCGCTCTGCTACACGGGCGGGCTTCAAACTGCTGGGAAAATTCCCCGACATCTCCCACGAGCCCCTGGTTCGTGACGGCTGCTAGAGGCCAAGCTGACTCCATGACTAATGACAACTGTCACAGCGCGCTGGGGTTCACTTATATTTTATTGCTTCAAATGCTTCAAACTATGGGAAATCTTTGGTAAAAATAAAGACAAAAAAATTTCACAAGAACTTTACACAAAGCATTGCACAACTATGTTCCCCCCGCCCCCACACGAAAGGCTACAGGGATGTTCAGAATCCTCAGGGAGGGCATTTACTGTACAACAGCCATCGCTCCTCAGTTTACGCAAAACCGTTCTCATATATATTTAAAATACTTCCCAGGTGCTCACCACATATTAACATTTGTATTTCAATCCGTATATTCAACTTCAAAGTATTTATATCACTATTTAAATAAAAAAATCAGTAATTAGCATCCCCCCCTTTGCCCACTATAGATAGCATCATGTCTCCCTCCCCAAATTCTGCTTGCTTCACATAAAACTAGAGGGAGGGGACTTAAATAGAAATCAGTAGAGTTCTTAGTCAGGCCCTCTGTGGAAAAGAGGAAAATGCTTCATGTCTATTATTACACAGACATTTCTCTGGGGGGTTATTTGTGCAGTCTTAAACTTGACCCATTTTCAGTTGATCTAAATGAGTTCTCAGCTCAGGACACAGTTCAATTAGCAGCAGTTCCATCAGCATCTAAATCAAGAAAGAAGGGGGGGGGGGATGGTAGAAAAACAGTGTGATTTTCCTCCAAGGGTTTCCTCAGACATCGACATATTCAACTCTAGCTTTCAGACTGAAATTATCCTCCGTGAACAAGAGACATTCAAACAATTCTGATTTATTTTGGATGCTAAGTAAACTCCCATTTAGCATCAGATTCACTGATTTTTTTATGACCTGTTAACTAGTGCGAGCCACCCGCATCTGCCATTTCTAGTCACACTCGAATAACACAGTGTTTCTCCACCTTCCTTAGGCCGGGACCCTTTCATACAGTTCCTCATGCGTGGGTGATCCCCAACCATACATTATTTTTGTTGCTACTTCATCACTGTCATTTTACTACTGTTATGAATCAGGAAACCCCTGTGAAAGGGTCGTTCGACCCCCAAAGGGGTCACGACCCACAGGCTGAGAACCACTGCTCTAAGACAACCAGGAAAATCTGCTTTGCTGAAATGAGGAAACCAGGCAGTCGTGCAGAAGAGAGAATGAGCCTGCCCGTCAACCAGAGAGCACAGAGCAGAGATGATGGGCTCATCAGGGTTCTAAGTAATAAAGGTGACTAGCAATATAAAGGATGAAAATCTACCCCAGATGTGAAGAGAAATATAAAGCCAATATTATCAATCCACTGGTAGGCATTAATTTACTCACATATAACAGATGTTTGTTGGCTCTCGTTTCTTGCAGTGCGTTGAATATTTTTATTATTCCATGGCGAGCATTCTGTTGTCCAACAAGGCTCTGAAGCATATCTGAATTTTAACATTTAATGAAATTAAATGTATATTTTATGCTGCTATTAATAAGGTACATAATGCATAAATAATCAGTGCAAAAGACAATCCATGCTCTCTTAATTCCATTTTTCCATGAACTTTCTGAAGCACCTTTGTACACGTAAAATAAACAAAAGGCCCTGGGGCACAAGGAACATGAGCGGTCAGTTCTTTTAAATGTTTAAAGAGAACAAAAATGTATTCTGACTTTTTCAATATCAAGGCATTTCCACAAACTGAAAATTTAACATATTGCTACCCAAATGAAGATTTAAGCTCTCACAAGTGTACTTTAACAGAATTTCTAGAGCACAAAAGATATCTATTCTAAAACATTTTGCTAGTTAAAGTATTCTAACCAGTACTACTCTTACTGCTTTTTTATGAAGGGATAATAAATTCCGCCTCCCTCCCCCACAGAAAAAGGGGCGACCTTGTTCTCAGTGGTGAAGGATGTTTCCTAAGATGCAGATAGATACCGCTGCTATAGATACAATGATTTCATCGGCCTGACATTTCCTTTCTCTCTCTCTCTCTCTGCTGTGCAGGATTCTCACCCCCCCTCACCTGGAATGTTCTCAAGGAGCTTCTGCCGCGCCCTCTGCTTTGTTTCCTGACTTTGTCCTTTGCTTCTGATCGCGGTTGGTGGTGCTAATTTCCCATTTGGCCAAAAAGCATCCCGGAAAACATTGATGTAGTAAACCAGCATTTGCTCACTGAAAATCCAGTTCACTGTGTCCCGGATTTGTCTTTTAAGAGAGAAAAACATTTCTTGGATTTAAAAAAAAATTGTACTGTATTTTCAAAAGGCATTTATCAATGGGGGTAGGTTAAGGTACAGGCTGTTCTAAATGTTTGATGAATAAACTAGGAGTTGGCTTTTTAAACTCCGGCTCTGGAAGTCATGTTTATTTTAGTATGACTAGACAGCCATTCACTCTGGGGCTCGCATTTTCCCAGGCAATGACTGCTCTCCCAGGGCTTGAGTGCAGACTCCTCAGTGTGTAGGTACAGGAACTGAGGGGTGTACTGCTCTCTTTGAAGCTTGCAACTCCCAAACTGTGCACACTACTCAGCACACCAGATCTCCATGAAGCAGCCTAAGAGGGACTCATGAGATTATCACTGATGGGCTGGAGAAGCTCTCTCACTCCTACCTCCCGGAGGGGAGGGGGTGGAGTGAACTTCCCACCCAGCTGCCTCTTAGTGGTGCTATCACTGATAACACTAGGCAGAATACTCCGGGCCCAGGAGCAGAGCAGGGAGGAGAAGGAAGACTGAC